ATACGCTAAATTAAAATCTAAAATGACTCTACTTTCTTCATTAGTCACTCCAAAACCGTAACCACCATGAATATTTCTGAAATCTTCTACCACTGTACCGACACCGACATGTCCATTTAAATCTTCCATTTAAATCTCTTCTAATGAATTTTTTTTTTCAAGAAGTATGATTTGTTTTAAGTCTTCTAAGTCATTCCAGAATTTATCTTTAGACCCTATATCTAAATCTATTTGTGGAGCATAAGCACTTATAATATTAAAATTCTTAGTATCAATAATAATCTTAAGGGCTATGTATCTATCTCCAACTCTGTTAATTTTTATAACATTATCTTTGAAACTCTTATCTATAATTACACCTACACCATTTTTCAGTGTGATTCTTACCAGAATACCAAAGTTTAAAACCTATGTTATCAATCTTCTTAACTTTTTCTCCAACCCATATAGTTTCTTAAATACAAAAAATATTAATTACTCTACGAATCATGATATCAACTAATTTCATTAATTTACCATTGAGAATATCTATATTTAAAGATCCTATCATAATATTAGTTTCATTTGTTTCATGGACTAACTTCTTTACCCGCATCCGTTCGTAATGTGAGAAATCTTACTTATTTGACACTACATCAGGGCGTAGTGTCAAATAAATGTTTTTAAATTTTAGTAATATTTTCTATTTATGAATGTGTTACCAATGAGATTTAAACTATCATTGATTCTTCATATTATTGGACAAAATATTCGTATTAAATAATTACATATAATTTCTTATAAAATATCAGATTATTACATGACATTTTGATTTTAATAACACTGCTTGTATTCATTTCTTTGTAAATAAAAATTGTCTCATAAGAAAATAACGCGTGCTATGATGAATGAAATGAAAATATTATATACATGAATGCTTGTATGTGTATGCTAAGATAAAAAGTTTACTCTCTTATGGTACTGGCTGGGGATGCCAATGTTGCTGCACACATAGATATTTTTCTATCATCTCTGATAGTTGTGAACTTTACATTGCCAATTGCTGTGCCGATTGTAGTATATTGGCCAGATGCGAGTAGACATCTTCCCAACTCAGAAAATAGTGGATATGTTACGCACCTACTGTTCAGACAAGGTAAATTTCTGCTGGAGATGTGTTATATTATATTTAAACAATGCTCCTGAGACGAACACACTAATTAAGAGTAAGATGTGCATTAAAGTTAAAAGAGTAAACCTTGGAACCCAAAGTAAAAGATAAAGCAAGTAAAAAATCTAGATTTTTTTTCACGAGTACAACAACAACAAAGCCTTAATCCCACTACGTGGGGTCGGCTACATGAATCCTTTTTCTCCATTGCGTCCTATTTAGTGTCATATTTTCATTTAGTTCTAGTAAATTAAGATCATTTTTAATACAATAAGCCCAAGTCTTCCTAGGTCTACCTCTGCCTTTCTTAACACAAGTCGAATAAACATCTACTCTCCTAATCAGA